ACAAGCCGCTCTTAAAAACGGTCTACTATAGCCTCGACGAGCTGTACAACGTACTCGCTGCCGTGGCCGCCGGCAAACTAACCATAGCGACGTCGCCGAGTCCGTTGGCAAACTTTATTCAGACCGCCATTCGAGACGACTTGCGCTTCGTGTATCCGCACTGCGTCATGCGTCGTTCAATGGCACAAAACAGGTACGCCGGTGCCATCGGCGGCGGCATATACCGCAAGTTTGTTAGACAGAGCGACGATAGAACGGCCGCCAGTCCGTTGGTCAAGTACCTGGGGCCTTCGGCCTGGCTCGACGGCCTGAGCAAGATTGCTCTCTACCGCCTTTCGATGGATCATAGCAACCTCGTTCCGCGAACCACGCGCGAAACGATGGTGAGGCGCACGGAGAGAGACGAGCCGGTTCCCGTTATAGTCGGCACGCACGAACATAACATGGCGTACGTGTTTGAGATTGGCTACAGGACCATGAACGCCCAAGTCTTTGGCCGGATCGCCGGCGGGCCAATATCCAAGCGCGGACAGCACGGAGCCGCGTTTTGCCTTTTGAACGGCATCTTTTCTGTCTGGAGCGTGATAAACACCCTGAACGAAGTGAAGCGAGGCCTCTCGTACTCGGACAGAAACACGTTCACCACTCCGCTCCCCGTTCTCACGTCAAAAGGGGCGGTGCCTAGCTGGTGGTTTCTGGGCAACGCGTACATCTCTGGTAGCATCCTAGGCTTTGCGTCCGAGCTGGAAAAGGACGAGAACCTGCGCAAGTGCATGCAGTACGGCAAGAACGTCGTGGGCAATTTTAGAGACTACAGCCTCTACCTGACCAACGGAGACGCCTCGTACTCGACGGACATTCGAGACGTGGACGTAAACACAGTCGTGCGCCACGAGGTGAGATGCGTGGCGGACGGCAGACTCAACGCGTACGCCGTCTACGACAGCGGCGACGCGTCCATTTACAACAAGACCTATTGGAAGTTTCTCAGGAGGAGGAGCGGTGAAGGAGTCGGCGATTTCTATCCGGATCACGCGACGCTGCCTCCGGCCCTGAACCTGTCCGACTTGGAAATGAACTTTGTTCGAGGAAGTCGGCTGGGACAGCGGCAGTACGCCGTCGACTCCTCCGACAGCGTTCGAGGCAGCAAGAAGTTACGCTACGACATCCGGGCCATATTCGAGGTCTGTTGATAGAGAGGAAAAAAAATGACGTGTCCCGTAAACAGAGAAAACTTGTACAAACACGCTCTCCTGGACTACATCAAGAGGCACGCCGAGGCCGTTCGCCTGCGAAACGAGTGGGACGATTCGCTGCGCGTGGTCCAGGAGATTCTGGACTTTGCCGAGGCACACCCCGACGCTTCGCTGTCTCCTCAAAAAATTATCGACGCCCTTCAGATCCTGGCTCGCAAGGTGGACGCGCCCGTGTCAGTCGGAGAAACTATGATGTACAACAACTTGATTAGGGCGAGGGACCTGCTACATCGACGCTATCTCGAGACACTGTCCGCTAAGAGGCAGAGAAGTAGTATGGTCGTCGACGACGACAACGACGAATGGATCCCGGTAAAGTTGGAACGCCGCGAAGCCTACTTGGCGGACGAGGAAGGTGCGATTGCGCCTTTCGTAGAGGACTACGTGCGATTGGGAAATAAAACCTTCAATGTATCCGACATTCTGCGCCAAGACCGAGACTTGGAACTTTATAGGAGAGAAATAAACGATTTGAGAAAGCGAATAGATGACTTGGAGAGCGTCTGCGACGGAACCATCGCGCACCTCGAGCCTTACCTACACTCTAAGAAAAAAGGGAGCGTGATTTAGTCCCTTCGGGGAGTAAATGCGCTGACACTACCATTAGTCCCCTTGGGGACTAACGGGGATGGGAGCAACTGTTGCACCCGTACGGATAGTCCCTCACAGTTGGTCCCCCTAGGACTAACTGTTGCACTCTTGCATTTAGACCCCTGGGACTAACAGTAGCGCCCTTCCATTTAGTCCCTTAGGACTAACAGATGCACCCACCACTTAGACCCCTAGGACTAACTGTTGTGCTCTTGCATTTAGACCCCTGGGACTAACAGTAGTGCCCTTCCATTTAGTCCTCTAGGACTAACACATGCACCCACCCCTTAGACCCCTAGGACTAAATGTTAATCCCACACATTCAGTCCCACAGGACTAAATATTAATCCCGAAGGAGTAAATGTTAATCCATTACATTTGTTCCATAGGGACAAATATTTGAGCCCTTGCTTTTTGTCCCCTAGGACAAGCTGTACGCTTGAAGATGCACTGCTGTTGCCTCGATGGTTTTTCAGTTTGCAGCTCAAGTCAATCACACCTTTATTTGAGACCTGCTGTTAAAAACATGTAACAAAATACAATGCAAGTAGTACAGTGAGCTTCAGTTGTATCACAGCATGGACCAGTTAATTCAGCCCGTTTGTTTGAAATCTAAACAAAAAACACTGCACATATGGGGTGAAAAAACATAAAATATGACTTATTCTGGGGCATTAAGAGACACTGATATAAGAAAATAAAAAAAAGCAAAAGCTAACTGTGAAGATGAAAATTACGAACACATCCAACAAGTAAAACAAGTAAACAAAAGACAAAGAAAGTGGCAGTGGGCTGGAGTTCTATCACAGGGTGCACTGCAGGCACGGCACTATAGTCAGGGACAGGTTGAGAACCCAGGACAAGCTGCCCCGCAAAGCTCTACACCACTTGAGCAAATGCTGGAGAGGAGGTGAGTCCCTCCTCGAACCATCTCCAGCAATTGCTGTGCTGAGGTGATAAGACTAGACAGCTTTAGGGAAGGGGGCGGGGGGGGGGGGCTTGTACTGGGTTCTTAACCTGTCAATGACTATAGATCAGACTATAGGTAAGCTTGAATTCTAAACAAAAACAATGCACATCTGATGTAAAACACATAAAACATGATGTAATCTGACATTGATAAAAAACAAATTAGGAAGATGGAATTCCACATGCCTTATGCATGACGCAAAGTCAAGAACTGCAGTTCAAAACATAAAAAAAAATTACAAAAATAGTACAGTGAGCCTGAATTCTATCACAGTGTGCTACAAAGCACAGCACTAGTTCAGACCCTTTGCAAGTTTAAATTCTTAACAAAAAACACTGCACATATGGGGTGAAAAAACATAAAACATGACTTATTCTGGGGCATTAAGAGACACTGATATAAGAAAATAAAAAAAAGCAAAAGCGAACTGTGAAGATGAAAATTAGGAACACATCCAACAAGTAAAACAAGTAAACAAAAGACAAAGAAAGTGGCAGTGGGCTGGAGTTCTATCACAGGGTGCACTGCAGGCACGGCACTATAGTCAGGGACAGGTCGAGAACCCAGGACAAGCTGCCCCGCAAAGCTCTACACCACTTGAGCAAATGCTGGAGAGGAGGTGAGTCCCTCCTTGAACCATCTCCAGCAATTGCTGTGCTGAGGTGATAAGACTAGACAGCTTTAGGGAAGGGGGGGGGGGGGGCTTGTACTGGGTTCTTAACCTGTCAATGACTATAGATCAGACTATAGGTAAGCTTGAATTCTAAACAAAAACAATGCACATCTGATGTAAAACACATAAAACATGATGTAATCTGACATTGATAAAAAACAAATTAGGAAGATGGAATTCCACATGCCTTATGCATGACCCAAAGTCAAGAACTGCAGTTCAAAACATAAAAAAAAATTACAAAATTAGTACAGTGAGCCTGAATTCTATCACAGTGTGCTACAAAGCACATCACTAGTTCAGAGCCTTTGCAAGTTTAAATTCTTAACAAAAAAATTGCACATGTGGTGTGAAAGAAATAAAGTGAGATTCTGGAACATCAGGAGACAATGATATAAGTAAATAAAAAAATAAAAATAGTGAAATGGAAATTCTGGAAACAAGTGGAAGTATAAAACTACAAAGTGCTACAGAAAGTGCAGGCCAAATTGTTCCCACCAGAACTATGCACCCACAGCAAAAGGCTGATATCATAAGGCCAAACGTAGGAAAATTAATAGCCTAGGGAATATAAAGGTAGTTAATTATTTACAAATAATTAACTTTTAAATAACAAAAATAAGAGCATAATTAAATGAAAATTAAAAACTCGTTACGTATAATGCAATACCACTAAACTGCCTCACTTTACAAAGGTATGCGTGCATAGCATTCTTACAACGTTCTGAAAAAAGTATCATTAAAGCGTAAATTTAAGGTGCTTTCATAGAGCACATTTTCTTCAGGATACTGTAAAATGTGGCATGCATGTTGCATCTTTTTGAAGTACAAAGATTTAGTAATTTTCGGTGATGCCCAAGTTTCTTAATTGATTTATGCTTGTAGCTTTGTTAATTAAAAAGCAAATTGATCAAAACGCTGAACACCTTTTTATTCCAAACATTATTAAGGGGGAAGACTGGTCTTTAACTTCATGTTTTTTATTTTTCATTTATCGTGCTAAAATTTAGTATACTGATGTATTTCTGAGTGGTGATTTCAAATATGCAATTAGTTTTCAGGTAGCTTTAGTAGATCCTGAGTTATCAATAAATTTGTCATTTTAATTAGGTCCTGCTTACAGGCCGTTACCGTAAAATTCTTCAGAATATATCAGTCATATTTATAGAATTGAAATCACCAAGTGATGTTTTGTGCGGTGATGCTATTTTTGTTGCTTTATAGCTCATACAATAATTTTAATTAATTAGTCTCAAAAAGATAGAGCCTCCCGTTTTGTGCAACTTGATTGCAAATTTTTTTTTACCGATGTATTATCATTAAATCAGGCTTAAAATAGCATCACCGCACAAAACATGTCTTGGTCAATGCAATTCTATAGATATTTCTGATATATTCTGACAATTTTATGGTAACGGCCCGTAAGGAGGACCTAGTTAAAATGATAAATCTATTAATAACTCAAAATCTAATGAAGCTATCTGAAAACTAATTGCTTATTTGAAATCATCACTCAGAAATACATAAGTATACTAAAGTTCAGCCCGATAAATGAAAAATAAAAAACGAAAAGTTAAAGACCAGCCTCCCACCTTAATTGTTTTAGATAGAAAAATGAGATCAACCTCTTTGCTCTGTGGTGCAAAGTTTTCTCATTAAAATTTGGCCTGAAATTCATAAAAAAGAAACCTTTACAAGGTGTACAGCTGCCGGTGGGATAACCTAGCCACAAAGAATACCTATGGCCACCCGCACCAAAGGGCTAGCTGGGATGCCAGAATTAACCCCAAACACATGTGACATTAACTGCATTGTCTTGGAGGCTCTTGGACTAAATTCCATATTGAACACCCAATACATGGCAGTCATGGTTGTAATTGCAGCCAGCAGCGAGTCTTCCTTAACATGAAGTCCATCCACGGTCACAACGAACGATGACGACTCATAGATGTTCTCCTCATAGCTCACTGCTGGGTACGCTTGAAGTGCGTCTGGGTCCTAAAGAAATGTAAAAAAAATAAGCATTATATTAACAAATACCATGGCACACATTTCCAAATTCTATATTTTCTTTTGTAATTATGTTATTGTATAAGTGAGACAAAGTGCCAAGCAATCCACCCAAAAAGTTGTGTTGCGCAGATGTTTAGACAACATGAAGTTAGTCAGCCCTCAAAAGGGCCAGATAAGTTCTCTGCAGTAGATGGGTGATTTGGTGAGCACAGTAAGACTGCTAACATAGGATTGAGAATACGCTCACATAGTAGATACACAAACAAATGCCAGTATGATGCTCATTCAGATTAAAATAGACAGAAATTGAACAATGTCTCCCTGGGTTCCGCAATATGACCTACCACTCTACGTGCCCTAAGCTGTTGCGCACTGAGCACAACAATGTAGTGCAAGGTGCATTATCACATTCCTCTGCTACCACTACCACGCTCTCTTTTTTACTAATGCCATGTCAAGTCAGCTACGGTCACCATGGCAATAATGTCATGGTTTGCCGCAGCTTACAGCAGTGCAAGACAAAGATAGGTATGTTCCGGTTTCGCAGAGCTCAAAATTTTAAGATGCACACATTTTGTGTATAATTTACCAAATCTGCATGGTGCAAAAAAGCAGGATTACATAAAATCATATATGTACACTTCCAAAGCACTTACTACAGCAGACATAAAAATTAATGCAAGCACCTAAGTAAAAATGCAGAGATAAATGCAAAAAAAAATAACAGCAGTAAGAAGAGTAGGAAGTGAGGACACACAGCATTGAAATTCAATGTGCTATAGTAATTCTTCTAATATTTTTGGCATTTTGAGTTCTCAAATGGATCCTAAATATTCCTACAGCGTCCGATGCAATATACATGGGGTTTAGCGTTTTCAGTTCTGTTGAATTCGGCACACGTTATTCGGTTTCTAACTCAAAATAATTTTTTGGGGGATAATATTGTTCTGGAAAACGAATTGTTTCTTTTTTCAGTTACCATGTACATGCATATTAAAGTTCAAATGTGCTTGTTCAGTGATCAGTGCAGGCATGGGGAGTATGAAAATGCCATTTGAAATTGTGACAATCAGGACACTAAACATATATGCCTAGAGCATGACAATGTAAAGCCGAGAAATACGACACTATTTGTCCAAATAATGCGTAATGTTTCAGAGCTATGGCCACTACATATAATCACTGCAACCAGCTAGAACTCTAATTACAATATAAATCTAGGTCATTGTTTGCTCTGAAATTTTGAAACTGCCCTCATACATAGTTGTTAGCCGTTTCAGGCAATGAAAACAATCGAAACATTTTCTTCGAACGGCTGGTCACTTAACACACGAAATCCAGTCCCCCAAAAGAAGACAGATTTAACCCTTAAGCCAACCTTGGACACAATACCCAAAAGACTGTATCTACAACAGAGACCTTCTGATGATGAGCTGTCAACTTGATAAAAAAATGTGTGGCAAGGTCATAAAATGGGTAACCGCAGGCTATTGCTTGCAATTAGTCGAGGAGCTCCCTTTTTCTTGGCAACTTCACTCTGCAATATATCTCAGAACAAGGGGCGTGTAACGATGTTTGGTCACCTTTCTAATATGCATACCTGCCAACCTGTGGACCGATCCGTGGCCACCGGATACACGGATAGTAAAGACGGTAAGGACCACGACGCTGCCGTGGACAGTACCTATCGCCCTCTTGTGGTGGTGCAAGATACTGCCAACAACGAATTAAAAATAAATAAATAAATAAATAAAAAAAATGTTTTCGTAAGATTTGAAGCAAAATTCGGAAACTCAGAAGAGTTGGCAGGTATGAATATGGGAATAAGCCACAGATTATTGCAATTCCAAGGTTTTTAAGGGGGGATCGGTTGCCTAGCGCACCGTGTCGCAGCTAGGAGTATGTGTAGCGAAAGCTTGCACTGCAGAATCCAGGGATCCTGGGTTCAGTCCCTACCCCTACCCGTTTCAATCTGGATGAGCATCGTACCGGCACACGTTCGTGTTTCACTACTGCATTACGTACGTAAAGACCCCAGGCTGGCGGTTGTACTGCTTTGGCTAAATTTCTCATCTACAGTGCGAGACATGTCGCATCACTTGAATGCAGACAAAAACCGCGCTGCATAAATATTCCCACACAACACAATTCAGGGTTTTTAAAACCTTAGAGTGTGTAGATGAAGTTACCACCATAAAAAGAAATTTAGTGCCGCCTTATAAGAGCCAGGTAAGAATGTATATAGACTGCTTCAAAGTCATTTAAAAAGCTGCAATTACATTATAAACTGTGAAGAACAAGATTGGTCCCTGAAACTTACATGTGGGTAGAGAAAGGCAGAGCTTCTCTCCTTAACCAACGACGGCAATACATAAAGAGCAGCCGTTGTCAAAACTTCTGTAATGATAAAGGCCATGATGACGTTTAGTACAAACTGCCCACGAAAACATAAAATGGCTCAAGGACATTGGCTCTACAAGTCACAAAATGGCAAAACACAGCACAAAGTATGAGCAGGTCATGCTCCTGAACCAGAAGGTTGCTTAAGAATATTTCTGGCTTATGCTGCCTCAGAATATGAAAACCTCTACTCTCTTCGATATACAAGCATCATGGCTGATATGATGAAAAGGCGTACAACTGTCTATTTTACTCTTACTCGGAAACTAGGTTTTGCTCTTAGCTACTAGAATGCTACAGACGTGAGGTTGAGGCTGAGGTAGGCCCGAATGTAATGCACGTGCTTGTGCATTGAAATCAACCCTTCAAGCTAAGAGCTTGTGCATTGTACCCTTTTCCGTGTTTTTAGTGTAAATGCCTGGAACCCAGCTGCTTTGTGGACATAAGGGAATTACCCAGGGTGTCTACCAAATTACTGAGTTCAAATTTCCTGACTTTTCCAAGTTTCTTCCCGACTATTTTGATAAAACTCCCTGACAAACTCTGGGCAACATTATTTAGCATGGCTGTGCCGATGCATAACCATCGCCTTCAATCCAGACTGCCACGCCACTTTCACTGGTAATTTTTCCTGATTTACCGTATTTATTCGAATCTAGGCCGATAGTCTTTTCCAATACCAATACATCAAACTCTAGTGTCAGCTTAGATTCGAGGTTTTTAAAACATGTGCCAATTTCCAAGTAAAATTAAAGTGGCGCGCAGCTGGCGCCACCTAGAAAAGAAAGTATTGTAGCCATTACTAGCCGAGCCAGTAGCCACTTAAGTAGATGGGGAGTTATCAAGTATCACCACTATCAAGTATCACCTGCATTAATACTTGAAACGCCACGCCGCACGCCTGCGTGCGGCGTGGCGTTTTTTTGCCATTATAGTTCCGCTTTTAAAAGAAAAGTTGTTTCAGCCGCAGAGTTGTCGTCGAACGTTGAAGCCGGGCGGGACTTCAGCATGGATGAAAGAATTGTCCGTCGTTGCAGGAGGCAACGGGAGAGGATATTTGAGTGCGCCGCAACGAGGATGGATTTCACCGGACCACTAAAGGCCGTCGCCACGGCCTTTTCGTGGTCCGGTGAAAGGCCGTCACCACAGCCTCTTCATAATCCGGTGAACATAAAGATTGAACATCTTCATGTCCAATAAATGTCTCATTTTTGTGAATGGTGTCCTAGTCTTTTGGCTCGGCCTACATTCGAGGCCAGTTTTTTTTTTGTTTTTGCTGGCTTCAAACTTTCTGGGGTCAGCTTAGAATCAGGCCGGCCTACATTCGAATAAATACGGTAGCCAACTTTCTAACTTCCCTGATATTCCCTGACTTCTCCAGATAATCAAAATTCCCTGAGAATTCCAGGTTTTCCAGATTGGTAGACACCCTGATTACCACATGCCTCATAGGAAACCATAGACAAGCAAGAGCACGCTTCCACACAACTAAGTCTAGGTCTCAATGCGAATAAGGCATGTTGGCTCAAACTTAATACTATTGAGACTAGATAACAAACTATTACAGAGCACATGCAACATTTCTCTCAAACAACTAGAAAGAGGAAATGAATAGGGGAAGACACAGATGGGACCATCTTTCAACTTTAACTACATTTATCAAGCATGGTGCCCCACTCCATGGGAAAAAGGGAATAGGAAAATGCTTAAAGGGGCCCTGCAACAACTTTTTGACTGATTTTTAATTTGCACCGATCCTGAGCGCACTGAACGTAGAAACTTAATGAAACTTTTCTTTTCTCAAATTTCGCTTTAGTTTAAAAGTTTTAGGCAAATTAGAATCACAAAAACAAGCAAAAAATAACCTCCTTCATAACGTAGGAGGTCCTGGCTTGAGCGGCCGTGAACTAGAGGAGGGATAGTGAGCTCATCGAGCGCTCACGGCTGCCGCACTCCGTGTCGACGGCTCGAGAGGGCGCCACTAAAGCGCGCGTTGGATCGGCTGTATGAAGCAGGCGGTCAGGGCGGCTCGCATTGCATTTGCTGCACGATTAAAAACTAATTCGGCATAACACTTCATTGGCCACAAACGACAGCAAACACGGGGTAAATATCAGTGCAGAACGGGAGCCACTTCGCGCTGCCATACCGCCAAATGGCAAAACCGCCAGCAAAGCCGGCGCCGAAAGCCTTCTGGACGCTCGGAACCGGTCGGATCCTCGACCACAGCGCCGCCGCGTACATCCGGGACCTTTCTACGCACGCCGTTCGTCGGCGCCTCATCGCACTAGCCCTTTCTAGTATGCGCCGTTTTTTTCGCCGCTTGGTGGAGGGTATGTCGACGGGTCATTTCTTGTTTCCGTACTTTATAAACTGCATTTTTTTTCTTTTCTGATCTCATTTACAGAACAAAAACTACTTTCATACATAACTGAAACGGTTCGCGACACTTATATTTTGTATCTCGACTAAAAAAAATATTTTAGCGGTTCTGACCAGTAGTAAGCCCAGGACCAAAGACGTCAGATATCGCGCGCTTTCGCCAACGCGAGTCGCCCTCGTCGGTGGAGGAGGTTCCGCGTCGTCCGGTTAAAATATGACGCACTCATATTTAGTTACTCTCTCCGTGCCTGCTGGCTTGCCCGAACCCCAAGAGACCTGGAAACCACAAAAAAGGTAGACGCCTAAATATGATTGCAGGGCCCCTTTAAGTCAGACGGGGGGGGGGGGGGGGGGGGGGGGGGCAAAAGGATTGGCATACAAAGATGCGTCTAAGCGGAAGGGGCGGGGGGGCAGATGGGAATTACAGCGAGAAGGGGCGTCTGCGTAGTAGACTCTGCTGAACTCATTGCCTTACAGTGTTTTTCAATGCTCAACGTCCATTGTCAGCCTCAGAATGGCTAATCCTTTTTGCTATAGAGAGATGGGTGGGGAACCTAATATTCTGTGGGCTCAGTCAACATCCAAAAAGCCTAGATTATTTCTCTGACAAACTTGCAGTGGCTCCCCAAATTCGTCATGGCAGCGAAATTAGGAGCGCAGCCAGGGCATTTTCCCCCGTGAATAAAAATTGCATGTTAGGAATCCAAAGCAGCGTTATTCGTGTCCATACCTTCGCATTCCACGTGGCTTGCAATCGTTTTGCGCCCCCTTCCCCCAAGCAATTACCCATTATCTTCTTCCCACAGAATGGTTGTACGCCGTGCTTGAAGTCTAAAAGAAATGTAGTCAAAGGTGAAAGATTGTCCTGTCTGTGTCATCTCTTATGTGTCTCCTCTTTCTAAGTGTATAAAAGCTACCAACACGCCCAAATAGTACATTTCTCTCCTTTCTACCTAATCCATCTAAACAAAGATTAAGCACAGGAAGACTGAGCATTGTAGCCTTCCTGCAGTATTCATCTTATCAACCCCAAGTTATTTGAACCATCAAGTCCTACCATCTTCCGGGCCTTTGTCCCCTTGTGCGACCCGTCGGTCCAGATCCTCGAAAAAGCTACACAGGTGTCGCTTCTTCCTAGCGGCATCCAAGATCCGCAGGCAGCTCTCGGACAGGCAGGCCGCCAAGCTGACCTCCATTGACTTGCTTGTCACAGCAGTAAACTCTTGCTGCAACTGTATTAAAAAAGAAAAGATGTCAAGGCAAGTGAACTGTGTTTCTGGAACACTTAAAGGGGCACTAAAGTGCTTTTATGATCATAACTCTGTCTACGAGTTCTAAGCGTCCTAAAAAACCCGCAATTACATTCACACGCGGCGGATCGCCTTATTAATGAAGTGATCAAAGATTGTGAGTTACCGTTGTTGCAGACGGACACATGGTGCTACGAAACCTTGCTGAATATGGTTGAACGACGGACAATGCTCATCAGCCAGCTGCAAGCGATAGGTTCCGGTGTGGACGGCGGGAACCCATCGCTCGCAGCTGGCTGCCGAGCACTGTCCGTCGTTCGACCATATTCAGGAAGGTTTGGTAGCACCATGTGTCTGTCTCCAACAACGGTAACTGTCGCAATCTTTGATCACTTTTTTTTAATAAGGCAATCGGCCATGCATGAATGTAATTTCAGGTTTTTAAGGATGCTTCTTATATTAAGTTATGATTAGGGTTCTGAGTTTTTGTTTTTTTTTCCTCTGAAATTTGGCATACTTTTGTTCTTTTTTTTTTCTAAATGATGTTTTTGGTTTTTATTGGTAAGTATATTACAGATGCAAGTTAACCGGTTTTTGTCTATGAATATGTAATGATGAAATACACTCTTTTTATGCTTGTCCATCCAAAGTGCAGTACATTAGGCACTTAACTATTTTATCTGTTGCTGTATTTTCAACTTTCCTTAAACAAATTAGGACAGTGTAGTTTTCACTTTGATGTGGTGCGCAGACTCTATGTGCTGTTCTAGACAATGATCATTTTTGGCATGCCTTCTCTTCCTTCCCATTTTGAGGACTGCCAAAGCTGGTTAGTTTCTACTGGCAACATGCTCGTACAGCAGCAAACTGAATTTCTTTTAACCAAAGTGGAAGCGTGATGGTGTGTGCTAGATAGTAGCGTGTTTTTTTTCGGTGTCCCCTACAATACAACCTGAATTAGATCAGACAAGATGACCTGCCCTCTTTCTCTTTGAGAAAAAATCAAAGGAATAAAATACAATGCCAGCAGTTGAGACTCTATCTTGAGAGGACAAGAGCAAACTTGACACAGGAAGACTGGATCAACCGAATTTCCGAAAGTTAATTCGGCATACTTTTATCGCTTTGAACCGAAAACACCAAACCCTAGTTATGACCTCAAAATGAGGATCTCAAAACGGTCTTCAGTGCCTGTTTAAAGGGTCTGTGCAACAATTTTCGAACTTTGGGACGTTAAGCCTGGGAGTTAGTCTTCACCATCTCTAGAATAGAAAACAGTTTTTTTTCCTACAAGCCCAAATTTTCATTAAAAAAAAAAAAAAAAGATTCAAACGTAAGACGCTTTTTTAATTTCGAGGAGACGTCCGGTTCCCGTGGTAGTGACGCAAGTAAGATATGAGCACCACTGACGTCAAGGTCGCACGACAGGCAAAAGAGCGTAGAACATGGTTTTAGTCCAACACAAGGAGATGGTGCCACCATCCCAACAGAGAGGACACTTATAACATCATCCCTCAGTAATGCAGTGCTACATGTTTCACACTGCCGCCACGTTGCGAATGCAGATAGAGAAATAGTCCGTTTTCATTTTTCGATTCCTCAAAGTTATGGCATTATTTCCGAGGAAAGAGAAGCTACTTCTATCACTTGACAAGGTAAACAATCTAAAAATTACAAACTAAGAATTCTTTTTAATGTTAAAATAGTTGCACAGCCCTTTTAAAATCCTACCTTCAATAATACTTACAAAACTGCTATGTTCAAAAGCAGGGTATTTTGCAACAATGGCTGCCACACTTGGGTGATCAGTGGTTATCCATGCCCGCCGTGTAGCAAGTGTCCTCGACATGGAGTCGGAAACATAGGCGACATTTGGATTTGCTTTTCGCAGTTCTTTTTCCATGTTGATGATATGGCCCTGCAGGCTTTCGGCATCCTCTCCATGTGCTGGCAGCACTATGTTCTGAAATATATTACACAAAAGTAAAAAAATTAGTATCAAGGCTTACCAATTCTTGAAGGGGCACTAAAGTGCTTTTTGAAACCTCGTTTTATGGTCATGACTCCACGTGGGAACCCATCACTTGCGAGTAGCTGACGAGCGCCGTCAGTCATTCTGTGTCAACGGTGTCAGGATCTTTGATCACTTTTTTTAATATGCAAATTGGCCGCACATGTTAGTAATTTTAGATATTTTGGGATGCTTCTTCTACCTTCGTGACCATAAAACGAGGATGTAAAGAAAGCACTTTAGTGCCCCATTAAAATAGAAAAGAGTCTCCATGAAACAATCTCTCCTACCGTCCCAGGCCTCGTCAACCGCTTTGGGTTAGGGTCCCTCGATGCCCGCGGCTGATTCCGCGGTGAAGCCTGCTTTTCAGTGTTGTCCTGCATCCGCAGCTTTGACCGTTCACGTTTTGCTTTATATCGCATGGCAACGCGCCAGGAGTCCTGGATGTACCCACAAAAAAGAATTTCAGAGAGCTTGTTTAAAAATAATCCTGGCAAAATGGTATCTCTTGTATACAGCACATCACATCTCACATGGGCATGTATTAAGAAACATATCTACCATAATATCACATTCTAGCAACACACTGAATAAGAGGACTTCACCTAACCAAGCTATTAAAGACCATTTGCTTGAAACTATGCCGCTGAAACCCATTTGACGTTATTACATATCTTCCAACTTTGTTTTGTAAATGCGATAGTTTCATCAATAAATTCGGTTCAGCCGCAGAACCCTCATCTCCGCCCATTCACTGAGGCCGCCATGTTTGAAAGCGTAGAACCTTCCTCCATCCCTTAAACGTCCATACACTCCATGTACGGCAGCTGATGTGCCGCCACGCAGCTGTCAGAGAAGATAGGCTTCGAGAATCCTAGTAGAGGGAAACCTCGCCGTGCCGCTGCCGTTGCCATACCAATTCTGCCGCCGCGGAGCCGCCACTGCGTCGTTAATGCGCTGTTAATTGGCATCATGAATTGCTGCGTGGTAGGTTGTACCAACAGGTACACGTCATGCCCCACGGGGACGTAGTTTCACAGTTTCTCAACTCGTCTGCGCTTTGTCGGGCAGCAACAACAGTACACTGTTTTCGGAAAAATGCAATGAAAGAATTTGTCGTATGGCAGTAATCCGCGCTGCTGAATATGTGAAAGCATTCAGCAGCAGCATACCTGCCAACCTGTGAACTTTCAAATTCGTAAAACTTCCGCCACCGCCGGGAGATTTACGCGAAACGATGTGCAGCTTAATGTCAGCCTTGCCACCGTGCGAAACGCTTACATCACACATGCACGTGTTACAGAATCCAAACTTCTCTCCCTTTTTATACGGCACGAGGCACGGGAATTCCACCGTGTAGGGCTTCATGAACACCTGAAAGTACCTCTTTTGAGGTTTGGAGTTCGCCATTGAGCCGCGAAGCCCCCGCGACCAGGGGAATGCTACGATTACATGTGCAACAAACACAGAGGCCGCACTCCTCGCCTCGAAACTGGCCGAACCAGAAACGCCCAACCACGTCTGAACACGCCGAACCAACAAGCGCTGTCGAACACACGAACAAAGGCTTTGGGCTTTGGATTGGTTTCGGATACAGGACCACCGGATAGACAGATAGTAAAAACCATGACGCTGCCATGGACGGTACGTATCGCCCTCTTGTGGTGGTGCAAGATACCGCCAGCAACAATTATACAAAAAAAGATGTTACAAATTTTTTTTTTAATTTTTATTTTTTGTAAGATGTAAAGCAAGATTTGTAAAATCGTAAAATTAGTACCAATTTGTACATTTTACGAAAAATTCGAAAGAGTTGGCAGGTATGCAGCAGTAATACATAATCATTGCTTCTGAATGCTTGCACTGCCCTGAGACACCACCTCTACAAGTGCAGTGAGTTTGCGTGATGTTCCTGCTGTCGTCTAGCTGAAGAGAAAAGAAACATGCATGCAAGAAATTTTAATACTCAACAAAATTGAGGGAACATTGTAATGAGTCTACCCCTGAGCTTTCTCACTATAAAAATGCCAGATTTACAAAATTTGGGAATACAATGCAAGGACAGCCAGAGCTGTGCAGGTTTTATTTTATTTGCTAGGACCATTTAAAAGTGGATTGAGTTAGCTAGGATATTAATCACATAAAAAAACTTTGCGGCACCGCAGCGCTACGAGTACTTGGTAGAATGAAGGTACAACGAAGAGTAGCAGGGCTATTAAAACTACAGGGTCTGCCGGAAAAAACAAAGCCCGGCTTTGCGGCCCGCATAAGTGCACTGTGCGGACCCTGTAATGATAGAAGTGCATGCCAAAGTTCAAAGCTTAATTCACACATGCACGTTCGACCCGACCGCAATTACAAACGACCGGAACGACGAGCTTGGAGCATTGCTAGGCTCGTCACTCCAGCCAGTTTTTGTTGTTTGTAGTCGCTTTGGTCGCTTCGAACATGCATGTGTAAATCAGGCTTACGTTTTGGCAAGCAAGATAAACAAAGAAAGAGGTTGTTACACTGCAGCGACAAATTTAAGTGAAGCATTGCGTGAGACGCGGCGACTCTACTGCAAATCGTCATGAACCGAAGCCGCGGTCACAACATAGGAACGCCGCGGTTGCATCTGGGTCATCAGTAAATCTAAAAGGATTTAACGTTTTGCAAGTACACGGGTACTGTGTAAGCACCAATCACTTTCTGAGCATGAAGGCGTGACAACCTAATAGCCCCTTCCCCTTGCAAATCCGGAGCGCTCGGCGCGCTTGCCAAGCGGATCCCTGTGGCCCTTGAAAATCGCGAGCGATGTGTGTCTGTGTCACTTGCAGATCTGGAGACGGTCGGGCGCTCGCTGTGCAACTCGAACCACTCTGCCCGAAAGAGGTGGAGTGCAGGGAGCGGTTGGGAGGTGCTCGCTATATAGCGACGGCGCATACGCTCGCACGCGTGAAGTTTGATTTGCAGCCACTCGCAATACATTGGTTTTGATTTCTATGCCGTTTCTGTCACAGCTACACGACAGCGATTGCGCCGGTTACGGTAGCAGTACTTTTCGATATGACAACATCAGTTGGATGTGTCTTTTTTACAAGCTGTTCGAATGTCGACTAAGCGGTGCCGACCATGCCGACCGCCGTCTGTGGTGACGTTCGCGCCAAGTACCCGAAGCTGGAATCAACATGCGCGTATACGTACACGAGAGCGCTGAGCATCCTTGGTTATTATTTCGTGGGAAGAGTCAAAGGCTGTAGAACCAAGCGGTATGTTTTGCATTTCGGATAAAACCGCCCTCACCCGGGACGGCTTTCCGATCACGGGGCATCTGAGCGTCGGAGGTCTCGGCTGGCAGCGAGGCAGGCGGTGACGGCGACGCTGGACAGAGCATCTCCGCTTGGCTGCTGCGTGTGCCGCTGAGATTGCTCGCGACTGGATGCTCGAAGTTCTGAATCTGCGAGCGCTCCGGGTTTGCAAGGGGAAGGGGCTATAACTAAATAATTATGAAGTAAGCTTCTTGCGAGACGCACACATTTGGCCTTAAAGACTGACGTCGCCATAGCAAACCGTTCGGCAAAAAACTTTAATTAAGTTTTTTGCCTTTCTTTGTGTGGCATCGCGGAAGAACGATCCCACTATAATATCTTTAAAACCAGCTCGAAGGACAAATGTTCCTGCCACGGGCACTTGCGCCGCCATAGCTTCCGAAGCAAAGAGCCAAAGTCTTCTGCTACGACTCTCAGTACTGCCTCCAGCCGCACTGCAAGTGGCGCTGCGTGCGGTTTTCAAAGCGCCCCTTATAGGTCCCGCACGGGGTGTATAGCCATTTCCTAGCGGCTAGAGCCCTTGCATGCACTCTTAGATGGGGACTCCCAGCACCTAGTGTAAGCACCAATCACTTTTTCTTCTTTGTAAAATCGTTTTATGACATCCTTTTTCCACGTAAGCCGTTAAAAAAAAAAGTTTTTTTTCCTTTGCATGTGTCCTTTAAATGTTTGGCGAGTACTTCGTACACATTTGTTTAAATGAGTGCAGGCTAATAATTAAAGTGAAATTGCATCTAGTTACTCACAAAACCAGATCCTGTGGTGTCCTTCAGAGTTGGGAAGTTTTCCACAAGGCACCTTGCGGCCTCGGCATAGAGCTTATCCGGGTACCTGCACAAGTAAAGGAGAGACATAGTGCCATCAATTGGAAAAATCAATGAATAGGAGCATTAATCACCATTTATGATGAAGAAAGAAGCGTGCCCAGTGTTTCCTGCCAGAGAGCCAAAATATGAAGATTGGATTTGTATTGATTTGTCAAAGAGCTGTCTAAAGAATAAAAACAAAATATGCACATGTGCTCATTTGAGCCACTAAATTAGGAGTTAGTTCAGTCCCAACTTGAACTTACAGGTCGTAGAGGCACAGGTCGTAAAAGAGCCACTGAATGATCCTCGATCGGCAAGGCAGGTACTGCCCCCTCGTGTGTTTTTGTAATGCCTGCGCGATGTCCAATGGCACTTTTGGAAACCTGTATTCCGATGGAGCTTTCGACGGAGCTTTCGATGGTGCAGAGCCCTCTTGAATGACGACATCCATGATTCTAGATATATAAAATAAAACATATTCGCTTCAGTAAAAATAAAGAAAAAAAAAAAAACACTGAACAATTTTGAATACAAGAATGCCCTTGATTTAATTTGTTTTGAAGTACAGGAACCAAATTTTAGGTCATAACTTGTTCACACAGACACGTGTATATGTTATCTTTTATCCCACAGGGAAACCAAAACATGTCAAAAGTGCAAACAACTGCAGCTGCATTGTTTCTACCTAGAAGACTCGGTTTCAACTGCTAAAAGCCAGCATCTATACATGATGTCAAAAACAAGTTGAGCCCAATTATGCTACAGAGACAGTCTTGAACATTTTCTTGCAGAGGCATCGTTGTTGTCAGTCCTGATAACAGCACTTGAAGCTCTGACGGGCCTACACGTATCCATATCCTAAAACGGCCTCCTGGTCACAAGTGGTGATGCATCGCAGAAAGCTGATACTCCTCCGCCATACCCTGACGCTAGCTGCCTGTACAAAATGCTGAAGTTTAAGAACACGACATTACTTGGTTCAAAAAATATGAAAGGAAATTTTCAGTGAGCCGGTGTGTAGTTCAGCGTAAATTTTTACAAAAGAAATATTACACTGTGGGCATAGTCATAAGATTACTTCCAACAGCTCAGAACACGTAGAAAGGGCTAGCGCTGAAAAGTTTAGTGATCCTGTATTCGATCCACGCATGAACCCGTTTCGATTTCAATGAGCATCGAACGGGCGAGCTCCAACTCAGCAAAAGGCACCAAGCGCTTGAAATGCCAAGATGTCTAGCGAGGGTCTCGTGCTAATGCGCCTTTTTACATAAACTGTTCGGTCATGTGGTGGAGAAATCACGAAGCAGTTTAGAGAGGGCCTAAAAGCATGTGCTTGACCAAACAATTTTATGTAGAAGGGCGCACCAGCGCGAGACCCAGGCTTGGCATTTCAAACGCTTGGTGCCGTTTGCTTAGTTGGAGACGCAGATTCTCGCGGGCAACTTTCTGCCGCGAATCCGACGAGGATAGCCCCTGCACAGTCTTAATCGGCGCTCAAGTTGCGTGATCGCACATAGCTTTGACTTCATTGCCACAAAGTTTAAGAACGTACTAAAGCTCCACTTCCAGCGAGAGCTTTGTAGCCTTGGTTACAAAAGCGTGCACGCGGAGAATGGCCATGGGCGCGTGCTGGATTCGGAGCTTCAAGTTCGTTCTTCATCGTACCGCACTCTTATACAAGTGCTGCCCGGTCCCACGCTGACCCCGCACAAAGCACAAATGACGTAAGTGAGCTCACCTGGATGTGGCTTGTTTGCAGGTCCACTCCTTGGAACAGCACATTGCCAGCAAGGGTCCGAATTAAATCGGCGCGCTTATGCTCTCCGTCAACAACGACAACTATCTTGTGTGCGCCGTACGACACCAAGCACTCAATCGCGCTCATTGCACCACTTCCGCGTTAAGCCACGCCAGCCACGCTCGTTAACTGAGGTCTCCACAGCTGAGGAAACCGTCGCCGAACTTGGAAAAGATAGGGTGATGCGGGAACGCCGAGAAAGTCCAACCAACGTAGCAACGTAGTTCCCTGCTTTCGCTTTGAACCACAAAGCAGCCACGCAGCCGTTGTGGAAACCGCGCGCCGATCCTTTTTTGTTGTCGCTTCCGGATGTAGGGCGGTAGGGCTACGGGCACACAACCGTTGGTCTCAGCACGCACGTGCAAGCCGCGCAAGCCGCGGCTTGCACGTGGACTGGATAATTTTAGTTTTTCGTGGTGATGTTTTTATTACAAAATTGTGGGTCATAAGGCGTTTTTGCTTTGTTACATTGTACCAATTCAATACTGCATAATCAAAAATAATATAAGAAAACATTTTCGCTATCTTGCTAGTCAATCTGATTTTGGCTCCAGTTTCGGCTAGCGGGTGGATAAATGTTAACGGCTATACCCTTTGTAACCGGCGGTAGCTTGCGCCACCTAGTTTAAGTCTAAAAAGACAAAAACGTGATTTCTCCCGCCTTTTCAACCCCCTAACTATCACCAGGCAGCGTGGGATATCACCAGGATAACCTTCAAGGGATCGGGCAAAAAAAAACAAAAAAACTAAACATCATTCTTCTGCCCCTTCCCCCCGGCTAGGGAGTCGCCAATTGGTTTCAAACTTCGGGGTTTTCACAATGCGCAGAGGCAATGCTTGCAGAGTTCAAGCGGTCTTCTCACAGTGCAGTGGAGCTAACCAAACAAATTGCACTATTACCACAGGCCCGGTAGCACGTCTTCTACCTGAACCTAGACTGAACTTTCCAAACGCTGCTTTGATGCCCATATTTGAGAATCCTTAGGCACCCAAGTTCCTAAGAATGAGAAGTCCGCAGCTTCACCGCTAAACAATTGACTACCTTCCAGTCGTCGCCCACCCCAACAAAGCACAGTGAACAGGAATGGGGGACACACATATTCTACACAAAGAAAATGAGACGGGTGTCCGTGTTAGATATTGGGGTTCTGGTTTGAAACAGTGTTCTTACTGTTCTCCTTCTGTATTTTGTTCTTTTACTGTATGATCATATCTCCCGGACTTCACAATAAAGCTGTCTTTGTTCTGTATTTCTGAAAACCTACAAAGGAAGGGTCAGTGCTGCACGGATTTTATCCTTCCGAAACAAATTTTTGAAACCTTCATAAGGGACATAATGTGCACAAAGTGTGGTGCACCTGAGGGTTGAAAAAGAAAATGCAACGTGTCTTGTATGCGCGTGAAAATTGACAGTAAAAGGCTTTAAAATAATTGTTTTTAGTTTTGGCTATATTTTGTTTTATGGATAAGGATGGCTAGTTAGGCTATATTTGGCTTTGGCTATATTTGGGCTATACTCCCCAGCGATTTGGCGGTTTTTTGTGGGGCCGTCTGGCAACACTGTGGTATCATGGTGTGAATGGTGCTGAATGTTACTACAGTGAACTACTGTAATAGTACTCGACAACGTGCCTTCGCGTCGAAACCAAATACCATGGTTTACTAACGTGTCGTTCACAAGTTGCTTATTGTTCCGTAAAGAAAAATGGTAATAAGATACTGTCCAAGGTGCCCATACTTTTCTGAACAGTTCACGAAGGTGGTCAACCACATCGGAGTCGTTCATAGCGGTGACGACAACTTCACAGTATATTGTGGAATCGCCGGTTGCACAAATAGCTACAACCGGTTTTCATCGTACAAAACTCACCTTTATCGGTGTCACAGGGATCTGCTGGAAAGCACTGGAAGTGCCTTCGACCGCGACCGAAGAAATGAAATCCAGGACTGCCCAGCCACTGACCAAGGGGTTCTGAGTGACGATGCTGAAATGCCACAAGCGCCCCAGCCGCAACAAAGCAGCGGATCTCCAGAAAGAGAAGAGTTCAGCGATTTTGTGACAGCAGCCAAAGCTGCTATTTGGAACTTCTTTTTCAACACAACTGAAAACCACAAACTGGCACACACTGTGGCCGAAAAAATCTTCGGCAATCTGCAACTTGTTTTTGAGCGCATCATCAAGGCATATGCTGCTGAAATCGCAGCCAAGATTGATGCGTCTGCTCTGTCCCCAGATGCCATCTCACTGTTGGAATGTTCGTTCCTGCCCCGCCTTTTTGAGGGGATACAAAGCAAACACATGAGAGAACAATATGCAAAGACACATTTTCCATATGTCGAGCCAGTAAAATGTGATCTCGGTACTGAAGGGGGCTGCTATCACTATGTTCCAGTCCCGAGACTCCTTGCAAAGCTGTGCGAAGTTCCTGACATCGCTGCCCAAATCTACACACCACAACTGCGCCGTGACGACCCCAAGGTGTATGCTGACTTCACTGATGGGCTCCTGTTCCAAGATTTCAGGGATCTTATTGCGGAAGGAGTGCAGTACACCATTTTTCTGATGCTATACAGCGACGAGGTAGAGATATGTAACCCCCTAGGAGCGAAACGGGGCGTGCATAAGCTGCTCGCCGTGTATTTCACCTTGCTGAACCTGCATCCAAGGCACAGGTCACAGCTGAGATCCATCTACCTGGTGCTCCTTGTGAAGTATGAAGATGTACAGCAGTATGGCTTGGACGTCATTCTGAAGCCATTCATCAGTGATCTTAAGGAACTGCACTCATCTGGGCTTACGTTCACGAGCGGAGGAGCAGTGCGCAATGCACAAGTGTTTGTGCTATGCGTGTGTGGAGACAATCTGTCCATGAACCGCCTTGGAGGGTTTTCATGCTGTTTTAGTCAGGGCAGGGTATGCCGCTTTTGTATGGCGGCATCTAAAAGTCTGCTAGAGGTCACAACTGAGGATTCCTGTGCCCTGCGTTCAGCTCAGGCACATGAGCAGCACCTGCAAGCCATTGCTATTAATCCGATCGCCAACAAGAAACTTTATGGTGTCACTAAACGCTCCATACTGCTGGAACTGCCCTACTTCGACGTCACGCGTCAGTTGCCTCCCGACCTGATGCATGACATTTTGGAAGGGGGGTTTGAGTGCATTCTCCGACAAGTTTTGAAGGCATTAGTTCAGGGGGGCACGCTGGCATACAGCGATTTGGATTACATAGCTTCATTCGAGTACGGATGGAATGACAAAAAGAACAAGCCTGTTGCAATGAACAGGTCCTTTCTGACAAGCAAAGCGAACCTGAAGGGCACTGCTTCTGAAAAGTGGTGCCTTCTCAGACTCCTGGGTCTGATTCTTGGGGACCTGGTCCCAGAAGGTGATGCGGACTGGGAGTTATATCTGCAGTTCCGCGAGATTGTGGACATCGTCTTTGCTACGGTAATACCATGCGAGTACCTTCCGTACTTAGAGACGACTGTGCAGACCTTTCTCGTGGACTTTGCACAGCGATATGGTGCTGCAGCCATAACTCCCAAGATGCACTACCTGGTGCATTACGCCAGACTGATTCGAGAACTTGGACCGCTGCCACAGTTTTGGTCAATGAGATTTGAGGCCAAGCATCAATATTTTAAGAGCCTCGCCTCGCGCGTCAAGAACTTCCGCAACATCACTCGAACCCTGTCAACACGGCATCAGCTGATGCTGAGTCACCAGCTGAAGGAGTTTTCATTTGATTCTGACCTCGTGACCCCATCTGGCAAGCCAGTTGAGCAGAGCGCTCTACCTCCTTGCGCTCAAGGAGTCCTGCCACTGAGTGCGCGCCAGGTGTCGCGTGCGTCACTCGACCACCGTGAGTACCGGTGTGGTACTGTCCTGGTGAAACCTTCCCAGGATGCCGAGCCACACTTCTGTAGAGTGGAAGCTCTGTATGTTGCCGAACGCAAGCTATTCATTTTGATTGAATTGCTAACGAACGAAGGTTTTGATCGGCACAGGTTTTGCTATCAGGTGCGCAAGTCTAGCGAGCTGAAACTCGTGAAGGCTGAAGAAGATGACACGCTTCACTGTGCTTTAGATTTATACAATGAGAGTGAAGTTGTGCCCAGATGGGAAGTACTGTAAGGTTTGCACTCGAGTGAAGTTGCTGTGGTCTGTTCAGAGACATTGTACATATGTGAAAGAATAAATGTTGCAGTAAACATTCTGCTTGCACTCAGAGGCCCTGTCAGTTGTATGCTTATGCTTCGAAACCCGGGTATGTGACGCGTGCACCCCCACTCGCGTTGCGGCCTAAGGTATTGCTGGCAAACACGCACCAACTTTTCCAATTACTTCAGACGGAAAATTTTGTCCACACAATTCGATTGCAGCATTGGTTTAATAATTTCTAACAGCTGAAAAGTATGTCAATAAAAATTGATTGCAAGGGCAGCTTCCCTTTAATTCATGAATTGTGGCTTTCTTATATGCGAAATATTTATTTAACTCAAAAATTCAAAAACCTACCGAATACCCAGACGTCCTGATCTTGATCCGAATGTATGTGTCGTAATCAAACAACGACAATGACAAAATAGATAGAGGAGACTTAAAAGAAAAGGGAATTAAACCAAGTGAACAGAAAATAGTGTTGCTCCAAGGCTCGAACTGTCTAATTACGTTTCTGATGTACGTTCATCTCTGCATTACATCAGGCCATGGCCGCAAAAGAGCTCTTGAAAGTCCGCCATGGTCCTTCGGGTCTACTTGGCAAAGTCGGACTCATGTAGAAAACATATCGAACTTCTTCTTGGAGGAAACTTTGCAGTCCTCATTTTTAGAGCTTCCATAGAATCATCAGTAAAAAGGGTCCCTGTTGTGTTAGTGACACATTTCATCGACACTGATCGTTTCATTGACACTGATCGTTTCATCAACACTACCACACCGTGCTGTCAAGTTTCATCGACACGCAATTGCACGCTGAAGGAACATTTCGTTGTGCGTTTATCACTGGGGTATGTATTAAACTATCCAACCCACCCAGTTCACGACGCTTCGCAGCGACAGTCTGCGGCAGTTCATTACAAAAATGTGAACTCGCCCAACCCACCCGTGCAAGCCACTTCGCAGCAGTGTGTACGGGTGGTCTCGCACCCGTCCATGTACCTGTACCCTTGCTCACCAACAGACCAGCGCACCCCAGTGGCGTCCCGAGGGTCAGCAGCACCCGGGGCAGTAGCCTGCCGTGACCCCCCCCCCTCCCCCCCCCCGCGACGCCCCCTTGAGCGCTGCACCCGGGGCGATCAGCCCCTCCCCCCCCTTGTGACGCCACTGGCGCACCCTTAACCAAAAAAAAAAAAAAAAGTCGTCGATGAAACATAGCAAGATACGTCGATAAAACAATGTGTTCATAAAATGTCGCAGTGTTGATGAAACAAACTGTCGGGGAAATGTTGTTTGATGAAACAGTGCCACAGCACAAAAAACC